TTGGGCCCCGCCAGCTGGAACAACTCGCGTGGTTGTTCAGACGACCGGACCACCTGCGTCGTGATTGCAAGTGGAGTGAATAAAGTTTTTTGCAACCAATAAGTTGTGTCTGCCTCTCCATTCACTAGCCTGCCCTAACGTACGACCAATTTCTAACGCAACTCGAGTCGGCTCTGGCCGTCCAAGACAAGTTTCTCTTTGTAACAGCCTGAGAGTAAATTTGATTATGTCTCTTGATCTAAATTTTGCTGTTTTCATGTGCACCTGCTTTTAGGAATCTTTGCCTATCAACTCTGAAAGTAAAGAGAGTTTGAGAACTACCGACACTACTTCAGGTGAGGATATTTCAGGATATAAGTGTGCAACATACATAAATATATTAAAATTGGTATTAATAGACAAGTTATTTCTGTACAACTAAGACTTCTTCATTATTCCTGTGCTCAGGAAGAATGTAGGTTCAAGCTTACACTTTCAGAAAGGAAAGGCTGTGCAACTCCTAGTTGGGTTTCTGACTCTGATTCTAACATTGGTCAATGCACATGAAAAATAGGCTTGGACTGCAGCACCAAATATATTCAGTCTTCATTTAGGATCGGAACCCTGTCCCACAAAAATCGGAAAAATCTCTAGTTTTCTTTATTAACTTTGAGTCACATAGCTGGTTAATGGCATTGCTTGGCCATTTATTGACAGAAATTTACTAGGCCCTTTTAATACTTGGGTAATCACCAAAAGAGAGGTATAGTTAACTGCTATTTTGGTGGGGGAAAAGGAGCCTGCTTTCATCTAGCTTGTCTTATCCCTAACTCAAACTAATATTAAAAAAAAAAAACCCCAAACTCTGGAATTTAAAAGTGTCCCACGAATATTGAAGTAAGCAAACTGAACATAATGGCATGTAGCCAGCTCAGGTATTTATATTCTGTGAGCCTAGCATACTTCTAGGGGTTGTTAATATTTTCTGTTAAGGTTCTTAAATGGGTAGGTGGTAACAAGTGCAGTTGAGTCTCCAAAATGTTATTTTGAGGATTGGTTAGCTACTTTGATAGATACATGACTGGGATTTTAGAACAGGTTGAGTGATGGCCTGTTGACTAGGTTGTTCCCATTAATCGGAATATTGTTACTGTTGGAAATTGGCATAGAATATTCAGATTGTATCAGGACATCTATCAGTCTCTAGCAACAGAGGTTTATTATAGATTTAATATTAATCCCACTTTTAAAAAAAGCTGGTATCTAAGGCTTGGTTAAAAAAAGTACCGAACCAACGAACTGTGCTCTACCAGAAGCAGCAGCACATTACTTCAACCTGGCTCTGCAGCATCTGTATAGATCAGGTGCTTCAGCAGGGCTTTTTGGTGTATTTAGCTAAGTTGATTCAATCAGCTATTAAAGTGCTAAAAAAAGCCCCCAATAAATCACCCGATTAATACAGATGTTGGGCGAACCGGGTCCACGTAAGGTGCTGCCTCTTTTGGGCATACGCGGGGCTTGGTTTGGGAATGTGCCAAGTTTTTAAATTAAAGTGCTGGTTGGTTTGTTTATTTTATTTAATGTCTGCAAGCAGCCGAAATCTAGTACAAGTCAAAAATAATTGCGGCTGAATCTTACAAACGTATTTTAATCTTGAATAAAAGGAGTGAGATATCTACTATTTTAAGAATAGATTATTTTTAGGATTAGAACATAAACCAGGTTTTCATTTGTTCTTTTGGAATCAAAATCTTGGTTTTGAAAACTATTGATAAGAGGGAATTGAAGATATTTAGTTTATTGAAGGATCAGAGCCTATGCCCTTCCCTTGCCTGATACCTAGTGATAAGGAAGCCAGTTTGACTTGCATCCAGCAATATTCCAACTGATTTTTCTTCTTTTTAATTATAGGAATTACTCTGCCAACTGGTGTTTCTACCTTTCTTCTGGATTGTTTAGACTTGGCTTCCTCTAAAGATGTCAGTGTGGAAACTAATGATAGTATGGATAGCTGCTCATCACCTGAAACATTCAGAGATGATGATGGCTTAGGTAAAACTTAGTTCTCAAAATGCATTACATGTGTGAAAAGGATAAAGATAGTTAGCAGTGTGCCTAGACATCTTTGACTCCTCACCTTGAATGAGCAGGTACCCCTTTACAGCTAAGTTGATAGTGGACAGCCTTTGATGCCAGATTCATGCTCGTACCTCAAGAATAGTTAAGATATCTTACTATCAGTGTCACCCCAACCTGCCAAGCAGGTAGGTTCACAGATTGTAAGGCCGGAAGGGACCTCACAAAATCACCGGGTCCAGCCTCCTTCACACCAAGCAGGAAAGACAACTGGGGTCAGGTGCTCCCAGCAAGTTGACTGTCTAGTCTCCTCTTGAAGATTTCCAGGGTAGGTGATTGCACCACCTCTGGAATGAGCTTATTCCACAGTCTGAACACCCTGGCTGTGAAGAAGGTTTTCCTAACGTTGAGCCTGAATCGATTTCCAGGAGTTTGTGGCCATTACTCCTGGTTTTCCCCTCGGGTGCCCTGGTGAACAGTTGCTCACCGAGCCCTTGATGTACTCCCCTAGTGTAGCGGTCAGCTGCTACCAGGTCCCCTCTCAGCCTTCTTTCCTCAAGCTGAAAAGTTCCAGCTCCCTCAGCCCTTCCTCATATGGCTTGCCTTTTAAGACTCTGATCATACGAGTGGCTCTTCTTTGGACTCCCTCAAGCTTCTCCATGTCCTTGTTAAAGTGTGGTGCCCAGCTGTGGTCTCACCAGTGCTGAGTAGAGCAGAAGAATCACCTCCTTGGTTTTGCTGGAGATGCATCGATTGATGCATGCCAGAGTATTATTTGCCCTACCAGCTACAGCATTGCCCTGCCACCTCATATTCATACTGTGGTCTATTATTACCCCCAGGTCCCTTTCATTCGTGGTGCTAGTCGGTTTGGTGCCACCAAGCCTGTAGGTGTGTTGGAGGTTGCTCATCTCGAGGTGGAGCACTTTACATTTCTTAACATTGAGAAATCAGATAAGATCTCTCCAACTTGCTAGCCTGTCTAGGTCTTCCTGTAACTGTAGCCTATCTTCAAGCATGACCACACTCCCCATAATTTGGTGTTGTTCGCAAACTTGGCCAGTGAGTTCTTCACCTCTACATCCAAATCATTAATAAAGATGTTGAAAAGTACTGACCTGAGCACTGACCCCCGTGGAACACTGCTGCCCACTTCTTGCCAGGATGACACCGATCCGTTCCCTACAACTCTGGGCTCTATCCTGCAGGTGTAGAATGATATTAAAAAAAAAAAATCAAATGCACTAATAAAACAAACGAACCGTTCTTCTATTTACTCAGTCGGGTGCCTGGGCCCTGAAAAACTGTGCTCACTTCAGGATCTGGATGGGTCTGATCCTTCAGTCTTGGGACTCAGCCAGCTCCTGGTCTGATTTAAAGTAGGCCTTATGCTGCTCCAAGTTACACTAACAGAAACAGTTCTTTGGGGAAAGTTTCACCAAGTTTGTTGTTGCCCAGCCCCTCCCTTAGGGTGATCCTGAACAGTACAAAACAGTTGGACATAGGATCCAGATCTAGCCCAGTGACTGTTTTTCTTATGAACTTGATCAGGAATTAAAATAGGTCAATTCAGTTTTTTGGAAAAGGAAAAAATCAAAGGAAAAATCAAACTTGGTCACATGTATTCAACTGAAAAATATTTGTATTGTGTAACACTTGTGAGCTTTATTTCTATGGTTATTGGTACTCCAAGAATATCCATTCTGACAGGTGTCAGGATTAGTTACAAAAGAAAGATACTGTCTAAGACTAAATAAATATTGAAAGATCCTCTGCATGTGATGCTTTGGATCTCTATATCATAGTTGTTACATATTCCGTGCATGGAAAAAAAATTGTGTACCAAATCCAAATGATTAACAGACTTAATGGTTGAATATTTTAGGTCTACATTCCTAGGGACTTGTGCTCTAAACTTTCAAAGGTTTTTGTATCCATATGTTCAAGTTTGCTTATAAGCTGTCCCAGTGTGACAGTTTGATCCAATGTTTTGAAATGCTTTGAGACCATTGGATGCAAATCTTAAGTATGGCTTGACTGATCTCTCTGACTTTACAGAGATTTCAGCTCTGATTATATAGACACAAAACATTTTCTTACTGTTGCTTCTGCAAGGTATAACAGGAAGAATCTGGTTGGGAGAGCACTGACTTTGGGGAAGGGTTTAGGTAGACTTGCGCAGTTTCCTATGAACCTGAGCATGTTTCACCAAGTGGGGAAATTATTCATATTTCCAATGTCAGAGGTCTAAATTATGGAACCCGTTTTAACTGAATGGACTTCGGAGTGAGAGGTAACTTGCAGTTATCTCTTCTGTTTTCAGATGGATATTATTCCAATCCTGAGGCGTGTTTCAAATGTAAGAATTCTACTCTACTGGACACCAGCAAAGCAATGACTATTGATAAGATGCCACAACTTGCAAATCTTTCAGAGATATTAGGTAACCCTCTTACATGACTTGAAATACCTATTTCACTTAAAACTAGATATGCAGTTCACTCCAGTGCAAAGTCTGCCTTAGTAAGTCTCTGTGCTTTAGTTGCTAATGTACAGGAATCGAGGCACTTCTGCACTAAAGTTAGAGGCATTGCATGTTAATGTTCACATCCACTGCACACTTCATAAACAAGTCATAAACACTGTTTATCTTTTGTAGCTATTTTTAAAATGTAGAGGTGCGCTGATACATCGGTCCATATCAGATTGGCACCCGTATGAGGAAAATTGAGAGTATCGGCAATCAGCTTTTTTTTGTCTGATGTGGCCAATAATGTGGCACAATAAATCTTGTGTGCATGCATGCATGCAGCCACAGCACAGCACACAGGCAGCCAGGGGCACAGCCCAGTAGCTTGGAGAGCAATCAGGTCTGGCTGGTAAGTATGTTGTGGGGGAATGGGCAAGGAGGGAGAGAAGGGGCATGGGGGGGGTGGAGGTCCCCATGGTGAGGGAGGGAGTGGGGCTGGGGCAGGGGTAGGCACTGCCTAGCTGGGGTGTGGTGGAGCGGGGCATGGGACAGTACCGCAGCTTGTCGGTTGTTCTTGGGGTGGGTGGCAGTGGCGCTGGGAGGGGGAGGGTTGGGGAGCTGCAGCCACCTCAAATTCACTGTTGCCCGCACTGCCACCGCCGCATGCCATGAGCCCAACCCAGCCCAGCCCCGCACCGGGAAGAGCCCGGTGCAGCCCTGGCCCCAGCCTGCAGTGGCAGCCCATCCTCGCCCTGCGCAGATCCAGGGACACATGCCCCCCACACCCCCCATGCCCTGCTGGGGTGCGTGCAGCAGTGGGAGCCACCCCCCTCCCTGTGCCCTCTAGACAAGCTGTGACTCCGTCCCATGCCCTGCCTCGCTGCACCCCGGCCCCGCCATGCCCCAGCACCAGCCTCATTCTCTCCCTCACTGCGGGGGCTTCGATCCATCTCCCCCCCGCCTCCCCCACAAACATACCATCCAGACACCACTCTCCACGCTGCAGGGCTGAATATCAGAATCAGATTGGCAGAGCTGACCCTAGGGGTGTGCAGGGACTGAGGAATATCAGCCTGTGGAGGGTGGCGATCAGCCAGAGCATGAAGCTGGTGGCACATGGCAGCCATGTGAAGTGGTGGTGCCCTCAGCACGTGCCAGTCGCATTGTCCGCAGGGCCTGTATGGCACTGTTCATGGAGCCCCCCAAAGCGTGGGGCCTGGGGAGGTCACCCTGATTTTCCCCCCCGGGAAGGCTCTGCAGATTTATATTGGCTGATATGGCTTGTTAAAAATTGGCCATCGGTATTGGCCCAAAAAATCTCTATCAGTGCACCCCTATTAAAATGGAGGTCTCATTTCTGTCTTTTAGAACCTGTACTGGAGGATCTTCAAGACCAATATGTTGGAAGGTAATCTGTAGAGCAGGCATTTAACACGTCTTTAAAGAATAAACTAAATATCTTCACTCACTACAGTCTTAGGTTGATTCCTCAAACGCTTATATGTGTGCCTAATTTCCATTACATGTGAAGTCCTACAGGTTTGAATGGGCTAATACTTGTGTTTGGAGATTTGGGGAAAAATGTCTACCAAGGCAAGCTACCTTCTTACCTTTGTATTTAAATGATCTCTACTACACTCTACCCAAATATTTTTATTGTTTTCTATATATATTTTACAAGTACTTGATTTCAGTGGTTTTCTTTCTATGGTTTTTAAACCGGAAAAAACCTTCAGAATTTTAAGATAGTTGACTAAACCATCAGGGTTTGACTCATTTTGACCAGTAATGTTGAGCGTGATTGGCTAATTAGAAAAAATAATTTGTAACGGAACTTCTGTAACGGACAAGGCACAGAAAGTTTAGACCTATCTAAATGATTGCTTTCTTGATTCCAGCAAACTTGATATCAGATAACAACTGTTTTTATCATAGAGAGAAACCATCGACATGCAGTAACAATCCTTCTGATTTGACAAGTGCTTCAGCTGTTGTTGTTGCAGGTAAAATATAACTAAGACAGTATTAATATTTACAAACTAGTCTAACTTAATGGGTAACAGAAGCCATGTATACTGATTCTGATGGAGTGCTGTTCTGCTAGAACGTCTCTACCTTATAGTCAGCTTAACTCTAACTTGCAGAAAACCAATAAGGCAGTTTGGATTGCCAGTCTTGGTAGCACAGTTAGTTGTACAGCTGTTTACATTAACTTACCATCTTAATTTACCTCTTGCTGACCTGAATATGACTGGAAGATGCTCAGTTGGGTGGAAAGCTTTAATATATGGAATATATAAAAAGTTTGATAACACACAAGAAAGAAGGGGCATATAAGAGATCTTTGAGAAATACTGGGGTGGGGGAAGTATTTGTTGCATTTGATTTACTGTATCTGGCCTTGTCAGCAAGGGATGAGTGAGGAACACTTGCTGATTTTAATTGTGTTTAACTTTTGGCTGTGGTATGTAGCACTGGATAAGTGCTTGTTTAAAAAGAAATCAAATCTAAATACAGTCTGATCTGTTGACGAATAACAAGAGTGGAAAGGAAATGAAGGCTGGAAAAAGCTGAAGCATCTCATAAAAGAGGCTGAGAGAGTCCTGGTAGGATTGACTGTAAAACATTAAAATTGTACAAGATTATCCATGTGCAAAATCCTGGACACCTTAACATCTTTTTAGATGAACATGAAACATACAGCATGGGCTTCCTTAGAATGACGATTTGGCCTGCCACATTATCCCTGTGGTAGGGCCTGAGCTGTGCTTTGGGTGGAGAAGGAATCCATGTTAATTAAAATTTCTTCTACATATAGAACTAGGTTTTATTGATGCTGCTGCAAGCTGGGCAGAGAAGAGCGCATCTTATATTACAGTATTCTGTGTGTGCTGGTGTGATCTCAGATTTGGTTTTCCAAAGGATAATTTATACTGTGTGGGTTGGAAAGTGATTGTGGTCTTTTTCTATTAACTACTCAATTAAATTGTTTTATAGGAAAACAAATATGTAAAATTATACCTGAGAAAGAAAAAACTCCAGATGTAACACCTCACACTTTCTGTCCCTTACCTCCAAGATCAAAGAGGAAGGTGAGTATTTAGATGAATGCACTTTGTCCAAATATAAACATCCAATACCACTGCAGTGGATACTAAGGAAAAGTAACAGCTTGACGCCTTGTCCATCAGAAATGTTTAACAGTAATCACTAGTTTAGCATGTCTTTGGTGTAATGATAAGTGTGAAGCATGTGAAGGGGATTATTTGTATATCATTTTATAAATGCGTGCATCTTTGTCTTTATAACACTTTGTATCCATCTAGTAGTCAGCAAGGTTGTAAACTTAGTCCTAAATCCTTGCACGTATGCAAGTAGCCAGTTAGTGGTTTTATATCCCAATTACTCATGTTTATCAGACAACACAAGTGTCAAGATGTTCTGCCATCTACTTTCAGCATATGACAGAGCCAGGGCCTTTCAAGCAGGGAGCATGGGAATTGTTAAGTCTCTTCTCTGCAGCTGAAAGGCAGTGTCTGCAGAAGACTGGGGTGGGAAAAAATTGGATCTGCGTCAGTCCTAATGGAAATATAAAGATTTACATAATCCAGTGTGTTTTGCTTTTCTGTTGTCAAGCCTTTCCTTTCTGACTACTATGTTTGTTGAGAAATATGTTGAATAAGCTGTTCAGCATCACTGTTTACTTCTGTAGACTGCCTCTGAAAGGAAATCTGTGGCAAGGACCAAACTCACTTTGACTTGCTTATTAGATCTGTTCTCTCAGCAAGGATGCTATACTCAGATTCAGTCTGAAAAAGATGAATGAATTGCACAATTCTAGCACCTCTTTTATCAGACTGGGTCTTTCTCTAAGAACAAACAGTGTCCATAGAAAGACTTAAGTGATGATGGCAAAGCTATACCTTACTCTGGATCCATGATGGTAATACCAGATTTACGTGGACTAAAAGGCAGAAGTAATGGGGTTGTGATCTCTAGACTGAAGTAAACCTAAGTTACCTTATCAGTACAGATACTTGTAACTCATAGTAACTACAAGCGGCAGTATAGATTAGTTGTGCTCAAATTTCTAGCTCTGCGGGCCTAATGGCTGGCACAAAATTGGTTTATAGACTGGATCCAGATCAAGATAAGTCTGTGGGTGCAATTTGGTATGCTGGCCCCAGATACAGCCCTTCACCAGCCCAATCCTGCACACCAGATCCATCCATGGAGTGACTCTGTGCGCCAGCCCCACTGCATGCCAGCATGATCTAGCATGCATCCAGTCCCCATGGCCCTAAAAATCGGGAAGTCCAGGAGCAACAACACTGTCACCACGCTCCTCTGGCCAAATTTTCAAATCTCTGGGGAGACCAGCGGGTTGGATGATGTGGCATCATGGGCTGGATCTTGTTTGCAGGCTGGAGGTTGAGCTTCACTGGTGTAGATCAAGGATCTGATTCAAGAACTGATAAGATGTTTTATTATGCATCTGTGTAGCGTGTGCTGACCATGGGGGCTGTTTTGTAATGTGAAGTTTAATTGTTTATCTTTATAGCTTGATGCTCAAATTGCTAAACCCAAAAACTTGAAGTGCAAGAAAAAGGTAAAGTTCAGTGAGCAGGTAAAAGGGGGAACATCTTTGTCCTGTCATCTTGAATCTACTGTGGATCACATCACAACTAAAGCTGTGAGACTGACAGCAGACGTACTGTCATCTGAACAGCCAGAGTGTGAAAAGGTAAGACTTTCCATTGAGCAGTTGATTTACAGAGGCTTAAAACTGGGGAAAAAAATTGGAGTAAATCAAAACTGAGAACCTAGTGGGGCAATGACAGAAGAGGTGAAGGCTGAAACAGAGCAACCTGAAAATGAGAGACAAATCTAATGATGGTATATATATTGACTGTAAACAATGACAATTAAGTTTATTTGTACACATAAAGAATGTGGAATGTGACCCATATGTTTTATGTGCCCAGAACTCACTAAAGTATATACCACAATACAACAATACCAGACATGCAGGATCAGACCCTGTGGCATTGTAAATTTATTGGATTGCAGTTGGTTTTGCTCGTTGGCTATGTCTGTGGATAACATCTCTTGACCTCTCATCACCAGTGGTGAATGTTTTGAAGATGCTACTATGTGGTTTATGACATGACCTGTTCTGAGTAGAGCTAGAGAACATGGTTGTTAAAATGCTAGCAGCTGATCTTACTATTGTAGTGCTCCAACTGCAAATTGTATAAAAAAAACCTTGCGTGGACAGAGCCAGGTCATTTCTAACAGTACAGAGATGCAGAACATTCTGGGCCACCTCTGTAATAGAATTTCATAAATTATAAGGCCATCCCAAATGGACTCTGCTTAAGTTTGTTAACTTGGACACTGATAGCCTTATTCGTAAATGTAGCTGAAGGTTTGTTTAAAGGTTGCATGGTCTCAGTAACTGTTGTGCAGACTTCAGTAGGAGTAATTAGATCAGTGCTGTGAGTAATTCTGAACAACTCCTCCAAAAATCCTGTATGTGGGAAGTGTCTGTCTCAAACACTGTGGACAGTATGGAACAATCCAAATGAAATGGGAATGGCACCAAAAATTAATTTTGCCCTGTGTGCTGCAGAAATCTGATACATAAAATACTGCTAAGAGTTTTGGAATACTATTAAAATTTAGCCTGTGAATAGGCAGCACAAACAATTTGTCACTTTTCCAGGTAGCTCTACTTTCTTTTTGTAGTAGAAATTATAAGTACTGTACTGAGTTTGTGATCATGCACAAAACCAAAGTGGGCAGGGACTCATAAATGCCATTTAAGTTGACACTAACCTATGGCTTTCAATTACTGGTTTTCATCATTTTTATTTTTAAATTAGATTTCTCTAAGCAAGGTACGATAACATTCTCTATCTTGTTCCATATACTTTCCTGAATGTACAGATAACATAATGCAGAAGGTGAAAGTGACCAGAGAACAATACTGTAGAAAACCAAACTAAGTAAAGGGACTAGATATAAAAAATAAACCTAGATTACCCCAAGCGTGATTACCTTTCAGACTTCTTTGAAAACAAATTATTTAGTGGATTTGAGTTGCATCATTTTAGAAGAGAAAGTAGTTGTCTGTAACCCAAGTTGTCTTGTAATTGACTGCAGGAGGAACATGAGCCACCAATATGATGTTGCAGCTGGTAAAGCAAACAAAGCTCTAGCTTGCATCTATAGAGGCTTCTCAAGTAAATCTCAGGTTGTCATCCTCTCCCTGTACTTGGCCTTGGTGAGGCCACAGCTGGAGTACTGCTTCCAATTCTGGGCTCCACAATTCAGGAAGGATGTGGAGAAGCTTGAGAGAGTCCAGAGGAGAGCCAAATGCATGATCAGAAGTCAAGAGAGCAGGCCTTATGAAGAGAGGCTGAGAGCCATGGGACTCTCCAGCCTGGAAAAGCACAGGCTCAGGGGACCCCTGGTGGCTGCCTATAAGTATATAAGGGGTGTGCATCAGGATCTGGGGGAACGTCTGTTCACCAGAGCGCCCCAGGGGATAACAAGGACTAACGGTCATAAACTCCTCCAAGACTGTTTTAGGCTAGATGTAAGGAAAAATGTCATTACTGTCCAAGCCCCCGAGCCCTGGAATAGACTCCTTCCAAAAGTGGTGTAGGCTCCTACTCTGGACTCTTTCAAGAAACATTTGGATTCTTATCTTGCTGGGATCCTTTGGCCCTAGCTGACTTCCTGCCCCTGGGGCAGGGGGCTGGACTTGATGATCTTCAAGGTCCCTTCCAGCCCTAATGTCTATGAAATCTATGAAAACCTAGTTCTTTCTAGGTTGTTTCTTTAAAAAATTTAGAATGACAGGAGAATCCACTGAAAATAAAGAAATTATTCTGATCTTGAACCATTATATGAGGGGAAACGTCCAATCCAGCCACAAACAGCAGGGACTGAAGTGTAAGCTGTTGTTGCTTTGTTTCAAGACCTAATTCTTTATCTTCATTTGAAGAACCCAAAAACTAAATGTCTGAATGATAGAACAGTCTCATAACTCTAGGAATCAGACCTTGAAATTGCAGGTAAATTTCAGTAGAATTCTTCAAATTAACATTCTGTGCACAGGAAATGCAGTAATATCCCTGAGAATGAAATTGCCAGGAAGGTTTGTTTACAACTCAGACACACTTTCTCTCCCCTCTATTTCTGCACAGGAAATGAGTTCCCCAGGACTGGTCACAGAAAAAACCAGAGAACTGCTAACAAGCACAGGATACTTTCACCCAGAAGATTTAGAGGTGAGGAGTAAATTAAAATCCTGTTGGCCACTGCCTTTGTAAAACAGTAGAAAGAGCTAGCCCTATTGGCTAACCTCTTTTTATAAATTCAGAGACTTACAAGTATGGTTGCACACTTTACTTGTGCATGCAGTTGTCTGATTACAAATCAAAATCTTGAGCAACAAAATTGGTATTATTAAACTTCAATCAAGATGCTTAAAATAGATATTTGTGTTAAAAATCAAACAAATATTCTACTTTTTAAAATCACTTATACCAAAATGAACACTTTTTAGCTTTGTTTTTACTATCTCTTCATTTCAAACAATTTTGATGAAAATGGGTAATACTCTTATTGAAACTACATTTTCAAAACCTTTTGGCATTTTAACATGTGCCCGGTGGGGGGGGGTGCTTTAATTAGATTAGGTCCAAGAGTTGCTCTAATTAAATCACCCCAAGTGTCTCATGTATCAGCGTCGCCAATCTTTCAAAATGGTAGCAGGGGCACTTTACCTAAAGTTCATCAAATAAGCTTTAGTTAAAGCACCCCCACCACCATTTTGAAGTGCGGGGATGCTGATATGCGAGACGTGGAGGCTGGCTGAAGTGTGCTAATTAACACGCTCCAGCAGACTTGATTAATCGAGTCTGCTCTGGCACACTGTAATTACAGCATGTCAGAATAGCCTCCCAGCATGAGTACAGGCACCCTTTAATTGCAGTAATGCCAATGAGCTTTTCAGTTCTGTATAGGAACAGGAAACAAAATCACAAATCAGACTCGAGTACAGGCACCCTTTAATTGCAGTAATGCCAATGAGCTTTTCAGTTCTGTATAGGAACAGGAAACAAAATCACAAATCAGACTCAAAATATTTGTAATACACTAATTGTGTTTCCTAAATGACATAATAAAACTTTGGTGGGGAAAAAGGGTGCTGCTTCAAGAAGACAATTTCACAATATGGAATGAAATTCAGGAAAAAAAATCCTAACTGGATTCCTCCAGTATTTTGTGTGTGAAATGTATATTTCCTGAACTTGCTTAACAGACTTGAATTTGTCCGTTCTAAGAGTCCTGCAAGGAAAACATTAACACCCAGAATTGATCACAGAGAAAAACAAAGAACTGCTAACAAGCACAGACAGGATAGTTTCACTGAGAAGACTTGTATTTTCTGATTAACTTTCTTTGACTACAAATTGATCCTGTTTTACGGTCAAAGAAACCAAATCAGAAAATATAAATGAATTGTCGGGTGACAGACAAGACTCTTATTGTCGGGAATCTCTTGTTCCTAATTGTAGAAAAGAGGGTTGGAAGGGATCTCAGAAGGTCAACTAGTCTATCCCCTTGCTAATAGCAGGGTCATCCCCAGCTAGATCATCCCAGCCAAAGCTTTGTCTAGCTGGGTCTTTAAAACCTCCAAAGATGGAGACTCCACAACCTCTGGGTAACCTGGTCCAGTACTTTACTACACTTCTTATGAGAGAATTTTTTTTTCTAATATCTAACCTAAACTTCCACTGCTGCACTTTTGAGACCATTGCTCCTTGTTCTGTCATCTGCCACCACTGAGAACAGTCCAGTTCCATCCTCTTTGCAACCCCGCTTCAGGTAGTTGAAGGCTGCTATTAAATCCCCACTCAGTCTTATTCCCTCTAATCTTATTCTTGCAGCATTAGGCTATCTTTTTCAGCGAAGAAGTCTTAAATTAAGTTCAATTATATTTATTACTTAAACAAGCAATATTGATATTTTGTTCCTTGTACTTTGCTTGAACTATAGTTTAACTTGTCACCAGTGTGCAAGGCATCCTCTGATGAAGATTTATTCCTAAATACAACGGGTCCATATGTGAATTCAGCAGAAATTATTCCTGCACCTCTGAGTCCTGAAGAAACAACTGTATATCAGGTTATAAATGTATTACATGCCTTAATTTCAAGTTTGAGTAGTTTTTATGATAGAATATGCCATAGTTGATGCACACTTCAACAAAGCTGTTAATGATAGCGGTACTTAAATGCCTGACTTAAAAAAATCAATATGTTGGCTTAGCATTTATTAAGCATATAAGAGTACTCTTAATTTAATATTCCCATATTGATATGTATAGTCTTTAATGGCATTATACCATTATTAAGTACACATAGTATTTGTGCACAGTTCTGACTGAGTATTCCTTAAAGAAGATGCAGGAAAAGCTTATTCACCTGTAAAAATATTTTCATGGCTGAAATTATTATTTTTTCCTCCTGTGTCTTCAGTCTCCACATCAGAGACGAGAAATCTGCTCTATTGTTAAAGCTTCACCAGGTGTTAGACCATCTGAGCATCGCCTAATTCCAGTTAGTGGCAGTGTGTTTCTTCCTCCTGAAGGGATGCCTGAATGTAATGGAAACAGGAGAATGTTTCATACACAAATGACAGGTGACTGAGAGTGGGAGGAATTGTATGTTTTTATGAGTAAGTCACTTTCAATGTAAAATCTGGGAAAAAAAATGGAAGTGTTGCAAGAGTGAGCCATACTGGGGATTTTAAACTCTTCATTTGGACTGCCACACATAAAGTCCTTGTGTTATTGGATAATAGTGCTTATTAATAGAAATTATATTAGTGAAGACTTTCACATACTTATAGTGAAGTTCCTACACATCATAAAAGCACAAGGACAGTGAGGGTCCTTTCAGAAAACCTTCCCCATAATCAGCCTCCATATACAGGCCAGCCACACTGAGTCTGCCTCTGTAGCTTGTTGCTTAGAATACTGTCTGGAAGCAGGGGTGAGAGTAAGTTTTTTTTTTTGTTTTGTTTTTTTCCATGTTGGTACATCAACATCTGTTCAACTATCTAAATCCTCAGACATCCTCTTCTGGCACAAGTGCCTTAATATAAGTTTTAGAGAACAGCAAAGATACTGTAGTGAAAAGATCATGCCTGGAGGCAGCTGTTTTTGTCTGGTCTGTCTTCAAAGCTATGAAAAGTCATGGGAACCACACAGCCATTCCATTCTTGTTTTCTGGAATCTACAGTCAAGGCTCTCAGCTCTTTAAGCCCTTTGATACCTAAACATAAGCCATAATTTATTCTTCCCTCTTTGTCAGTATTTCAAGAAGCTATTTCTTGGAGTCACAGAGTTTAAGGCTAGAAGGGTTGATTAGATCGTTCAGTCTGACCACTTGCATCACCCAAGCCATTACATTACACCCAGTTACCTCTCTGTGGATCTGATATACTGTTTGAATAGGACATACCTTCCAGAAAGCTGCACAGGTGTGAAGCCTTCAAAATTCACCACTTCCATTGGCAAAGGGACTAATCTGACTAATCATCTTCAAAAATAAGATGCATGTTGGGGTTGGGTTTTTTTCAGGGGGAGAGGGGGATTTGTTTGTTTTCTAACTCTCATGCACTTCCAGCCATTGGTTCTTGTTATACTTCTCTTAAATTCAGTACCCACTCTTTTCTCCCTGAAAACATACTTAGTGTAATCAAGTCACCTCTTAGTTTTATTTTATGAAGTCATATGGATGGGGCTCTCAGGGGCTGTCACTGTGAAAGGTGCATTTTGCAGTCCTTAAATGTTTTTTGTGACCCTTTCTATACTCCCCAGTTTTTCCAAATTCTTCTTAAAAGGGATGCCAGTATTTTATACAATACTCTGGTATGTCTTGTCAATGCCTTATACAGAAATAAAATAATTTCCCTATTGAAGTTTTCACTTGCAGATTCTCAGTATGCCACTGGATGGCATGTTTCTTCTTAGGTTGAACACAGTTCTCTTTAAAGAATGCTGTGCCACTTCAGTCTAATACCCTTTCAGAAAAGAATCTAATTGGTCAATACTTTGTTAAATAATGCAATAGTTTAAAGACCAGTTTCATCCCAGAGACCATGATTAGTACAAAATAGCTTTATTGAAGTTTTCAGTGGAAAAGATAGTATTTGCATGTCAGAAGTTGAGTATGTACAAATACCTAGAACCTGGGTAAGTACTTTAAAATGTGTAGGTCAGAATTTTCATAGCCTGTATAGACCAGGAAATATAGTGTTCATAGAATCACAGGAAAGTAGGGTTGAAAGGGACCCCATGAAGTCATCTAGTCTAGCCCCTTGCTCAAGGCAGGATCCTCCTTGACTAAACCTAGCCTAGTGTCTGTCTAATCTGCTCTTGAAAATGTCCAAGGATGGAGATTCCACAACCCCTGTCGGTAGTATGTTCCAATGCTTGACAACCCTCATACACGGCAAGTTTCTTCTAATCGCCGACCTAAGTTTCCTCTGCTGAAGCCTGAGGCCATTGTTTTAAATAAAGTATCCTACAGTGGCCTCAAGCTACAGCAGAGGAAACTTGTATATGAGACTAGTAAAAAAAAAAAAAATACAGAAGGTATTTCAAAATAACTGATGAAAGGTTGATGAGATAAACATTGAACCAAAAATAATTGAGTGTTCATAAAATATAATGAATATGATTAACTCTTAAGCTGTAATGCTTCATAAATACTTATGCTGCACAATTTGAATTCAGATTGTGATTGGCTTGTAAGTAGAAGGTTCCTGAGCCTCTCTCTTGAAATGACTGCAGTGCACATAATAGTCACACGACAGATAAAGGCAAAAGATGCAGTGGAAATAATGATACTTTGTATTTAGTTCCTGCCTCATCAGGGATCCTGGTTTTCTGTTTAAAAATCACAAATTCTCTAATTTTTTTTAAAAAACTGCAATTGACAGTTAAACAGAACACTTAAAAGTAGTTGTGGTAAGAAGGTATGGGTCTCGTATCAAGCTGCGTGGCTTTGGAGTTACTTGGTACATTATGTGGCCGCCAAGGTGACATGTGGAGGTGGCAGAAGCACGCAGTTGTGCCCCCACTGTTGCCAGGTGGGCAGGGGGTGCCTCACCTTGGCGGCCATCGTGACATGGTGCTCCCTCCTGCACCAGGTCCTGCCCACTGGGCTGCGGAGGTGCCTCCTTTGGAGCTGGTCCAGCCCATCAGCAGCCCCACCCCTGCTGTGGGCACAGAAATCTTGGGGGGCATGTGCCCCCCCCTCTCGAATGTGTGATCTGTGCCCCCCCCACCACTGCCCCACCATGTGGCCTGTGCCCCTCTCCCTCTGTGGACTTACCTGGAGAGAGCTGCAGGGGCTGCTGTCCATTGCCACCTGGCTGCCACGTGCATGTGTACACATGCACATGGTGTCCCCTGCCTCCTGTGTCCCATTTCCCGCAGCCCCTTGCATGCTGGAACTCTGCCAGCCTGCAAAGGGAAACCCATAGTTCCCTGTGATTTTTCTCCTTTTTAAAGGGAAAAATCCGCATTTTCTACAGTGAACAGAAAACCTGGATCCCTGTTCATGGACTTGATCATGCAATGTGGTGAGCACTCTTGCATTAACACAGTAGAACCACTTGGACACATGCATAACATGCCCATGAGTTGCTAAGAGCACCAGGGATTTGCTTAAAATTTAAGAAATGTGAGTGCTTTCATTGACTGAAATGGAAATTTACTTCTTTAAAGATAAGTAAGAGCCTAAGAGCTGCTTCTGGTTGTTCAAGAAAAACCCCTGATTATACATTTGTCCTCATACCTCATTCACCCTGACCAGACTTAGATTTTTTTTTGTATCTTGTGGCTCTAATGCAGACATGTGTAACTCCCTTGGGTTCCTGGGTGGATCTGGACTATAGGACTTCTCGCAGGCTGGATCCAGACCCACCTCCAGCAGTGGGATGAATGGCAGTGGCATTTACTGCCAAGGAGATTATCATATCCATCACTTGCTCCTCTACTGCAGACACAACAGTGGTTCATATGCGAGAATTCAGTGGCGGGTCCCTTCCCTGCTTGCCCCATCCTTGATCTCCTGGCTGCTTCAGGACCTCTGTGGATCAGATAATACAATTCTGAGGGCTGTATCTTTAACACCCCTTCTCTATTGTGTTTTGAAATGTCTATAATGCACTGTTAACAATTGCAAGAACTGAATTGGAAAACTCTAAAATTCCTTTTCAAGGAAAGTTGCAATAATTAAGACTTTCAAAACTTAACACCTAAACCTAGGTTCCCAAGCCCACAGTTAGATTCCAAGTAAGGGTCCTATTTTCTCCCCTCCACCTAAAGTACTAAGCAGGTAGTAGCTCCTAATAAAGTATGGGAGACTGTTATGTACTTTAGACTTCAGTCCTAATTGGTGTACAGCAAGGATGTTGGAGATCTGGCCCCTGGAAACGCATCATTTGGCCAGAAGTGATGGCCCTGGGTCTCAGTTGACCCATGTGCAATGTGTGCCAGACTGGCCCTGCGTGCACAGCCTAGGACACATGCTGCTCCAGGACCTGCACTGCAGGCAGCATCTGTGTGAGGCCAGTCCAGGGAATGCCTTTCCCGTACTCCTACCACTCCCACCTCACTTGGTCCAGGATGTGAACCACATGTGGCATCTGGTTCAGGGTGGATGCCACATGAAGTGCAGCCTCTAGATTGGGCGCCATGTGCAGTGCAGTCATGGATGAGCCAGAGTGGGTGCTAGATCTAGCATATTGGGGTGAGAGATGTCCCTGGGTCCCCTTCATGCTGCTAGATCCAGTGCTTGCCTTGGCTGGTCTGGGACTGCCACATGCAGCACCCACTCCAGCACATCCCAGACTGGAATGCAGTGGGGACAAAGTACATGCGCCAGCCCTGCACCATGGACTGGTCCTGTGCTACCCTGATGTAGAGGTAGGTTATGCTGTACCAACAGTATTCTAGCTATTGGGTTTCTGACATGCAAGAACTTTACCTATGTTCAAATCCAAGTTCTTTATTCCTTTCTGTGTACTTAATAACAGTGATGGCAGTTCATTATTGGAAGAAGTTAACACTGCTTGTAGTGGCTTCTGAGTTATTGGTAAATTCAGAAGGACATATTGGACTATGTTGTATGCATGTGAGAAGAGATGAAGAGATCAGATTAGATTATAAGGCTGTAGTCTCCCTCAAGCCTTATCTTTGATTCTGACTGGAGGCATGTCTTTTCAGATTCACGTTTTACTAAATTATCAAGAACACAAATGTAATGAATTCTTATGGCCGTATTCTGAGATGCAGTTGTGTGTAAACCTCATGCATCTTGAGATAATGTACATGCTTTTGTATATGTATTGAAACCCTCATTAAAACAAGTGTACATACACAGTAGAGATTGATGCCACTGCAAGCAGGAGTAGGGTAGTACTCCTGATCCTTATCTCTTAAATGCAACATGCAATTTAGCAAGGATCACAAGGTTGTGCTGTTTGTTGGCCATTTTTCTTACAAGTTATAGGGGCAGGAGTACTGTTTAATCTGAACAAATGGTTATATTTTTTACATTTCTTTTTGGAGGAGTTGTAATGTAGCAAGGGAGTTTGCTGTTTTAATCTTGCTAAGTAAAAACAGCTGTTTCTTGAGAGCAAGTGTTTTGAATGAGACTCCTGGAAGAGGGGGACTGTCTGCATGCTGTTTGTGCCTACTTCCTTTCAAGGATATTCACAGTGCAACTTTATTTTACATTGAGAATATAGCCATGATTTCACCTGTAACAGAATGCTGACCTGCAAGTGGCCTCTTACCAGTTAGAAGGGACAGAATACATATCAGTTACTCTGCAAACCACCTAAAGAGTCAGTTCAATGAATTCTCTCTGTGAAATGCATCTATTTACAGACGATAAACTAATTTCGCTTCTTAATTTTTCAGATGTTATTACAAGTACCAAAAACTGGGTCTGCAGTAACCGTAGCTAAGCTGTTTGCTTGTCACAAGAAGTAGAAACTAGTAAAGGTTCCACCTTAGGGTGTGAAATGTCTGACTGATAAATGGAAGAGAATACTCACAAGTGAAAACTACACGTGCTGGTGGTTTATGTATTATCTGGGCTGTAAGTCTGTAAATGCTTTATTTAAAAAAAAAAAAAAAAGGATCATTAAAGTTTTTTTTTATACTTTACAAATACATTTGACTTTGGGCATTGTTTCTTAAGTAAATGATGCTGTCTGTTCACTTGGTTTAAAAAGGAGGAGTAGGAAACCAAGCTGTAAAACTTAAAAGTCTCTGGCTTTTGTTATGCCAACTTGTGAATATTTTAAAAGCAAATTAACACTTTTTAAATTGCATTGAAAAGTCTGACTACTTTTTTGTAGGGAAGAATAATGCTGCTGGAAAAGAGAAACTACTAATGATAATGTGATATAAGTAATGTGCATACTTGTGTGCCCTTTAGTTTTGATCTACAACTCTCTGCTTTTCTTGTCCTGAATAGGTTTAACTAGTGCAGTGGGGGCCAGCCTTTCTGGCAGGTGTGCCATATATTAGCACTGCATCTTCCCCAAGAACAATGCTGATCCTCTTCCCCTGCCTGATCTGCTGCTGTGCTCTTTGCTTCCTTCCCCGTTTTCCTTGCCTGATACGCCTATTTGCCACTGTACTTGCCTGATCTTCTGCGTGCCACACAGAGGCTACCTGTGACATTTTGTGGCACATGGGTCACAGGTTGGCCACCCCTAAACTGTTGGCCACCCCTAAACCTATTGTGGTGCTCTGGTCATATGGACAAATATCTACTTTAGATCTAGATAAAATACTGGAATTTCAGTATCTGCCTCTAAACACTTAATGGGCAAGTAATCTCAATGAAGCCTGTCACTAGCACTGTACAAGTTTAGGGCTAGAAAACTCAAAACTACTGTATTCTACAAATAAAAGACTTTCATTACTTAAATAAGAATGTAGGAAAGTATTTGTTGGAGGGTTTGGTTGGGGAGGTGGAGGCTCAGTCTATTCTGGAACTCTTCTCTCAGCAGACTGGTATTTTGGTAGAACAAAAGTAAGGTGACTGATTTTGAAGGAGCCTAAGGTAACTGCAACTTGATGAATTTAAGCATCTTTGTCTGTTTAGATTAATCTGAAAGTCCCAACCTATGAGAGTAGACCTTACATAACTACCTGCCTGCCAGATCGTAGTTTAAACTACTGTGGCTTATATCTTCAACCATACTACAAATTTTGGAAA